CCCCAACACCCAACCCTCTGCCCTGAACCCCCATACACACCCAGCCTTGTGCCCTGCACCTCCACACACCCCAGCACTCTGCCCTGACCTCGAGTCCCCCCCACACCCAGCCTTCTGCCCTGCACCTCCACACACCCCCAGCGGGCTGAGCAGGCTGGCGGCGTAAGATCAGCATTTTAATTTAATTTTAAATGAAGCTTCTTAAACATTTTGAAAACCTTGTTTACTTTACATACAACAATAGTTTAGTTATATAATATAGACTTAGAGACCCCTTCTAAAAAACGTTAAAATGTATTACCGGCACACGGAACCTTAAATTAAAGTGAATAAATGAAGACTCGGCACACCACTTCTGAAAGGTTGCCAACCCCTGGGCTACAGAATGGGGCAGCAGCAACAGGGACCAGAGCTACATAATTCTGCAGTTTATAATATTGCATCTGGCAGTCTGGCTTTGGCCCACGGTCCAACTATTTACCCCTGATTTTTACATTCTTCTGTTCTGATTTGGATTCCTTCCTCTTCTCCTGAAGACAGGATAGAATACACTGGCTCTTGATCCATCTCTTCTTGGACAAAATCTTTTTACAGCCAAGTAAATGACTATTGCAGCAATAATCAGAGTGGGGAATAGAGCCCATAAAGCTGGATCTGAAATCAAGCCAAACAGAACAGAAGTCAGGTTAACCCATTTGGAGAACAGGTATATACACACAGCCACCTCTGCCTTCATTTGGTTGGAAGGCTGCAAAATGCCAGGATTCATGTGGATTAACATGGCTCCATAACTAATCTTATTGTGCAATATGATGGGGACAGGGAGGAGTTCCTGCTGGATTTTCAGTTAGCTAGTGATCAGCCTTGGCTTTGGAGTGAGAGGATGAACAGCACTTCAATTTAGCTGATGTCACTGCACTTCAGAGAAGACCTTCTTCGAATCCAAGGTAGTTGCTTCTAACATCCTGCAGCAGAGAAGTTCCACAGGTTGATTTTATTTAAAAAGTACACTGTAAAATTGGCAATTTGAGATCAGAGCAGATCAATATCTACCCCTGGAGTCAATATCTGAGGAAGAGGGAGGCCATGAGGGACTTGCTGACAGGAGACAGGTGCTGTGCAAAAGTGAGAGCAGTGAGCATAGCTGGAGGGATTTAAAAAAAATCTCCTTAATGTCTTTGGAAGATTGCCTGTGACTAGCCATTGAATCTGAGGGCAGCCTGCAGAGATCGAGGGATCAGAAGGCCAAGGTGGGAAGAAGAAAGGTAGTTTTGGGATTAAGCTTCTGGTCTAAAACTTGAGAGACCAGGGTTCAATTCCTGGCTCTGCCACAGCCTCCCTGTGGCAATTCAGGCCAGTCACTCAATCTCTCTGGGCTTTAGTTCCCCATCTGCACAATGGGGACAATCCTCCCTTTCCTCTGCCCCTTCTTTGGTCTCTTACACTTGTGAGCTCTTCGGGGAGCTCGCTCTTCAGATGTGTTCGTTCAGTGCCAATCACAAGGGGCCCTGATTTCAGCTGGGGCCTCTAGCCACTGCTATAATACAGATAATTTAATGGGGGTGGGGGAGGGTTCAGAGTTAACATTCCCTGCTGATCACTCAGCCCTTCTAGACAAGAGTTCAGCAAAACTCAGGGCTTGTCTACACTACACTACAGCCACCACAGTTATTAAATCCGCTGTTTATGTGCACACTACCCTCCTTCTGTCGCTGGCACTGACCGCTGGAGCCCTGCTGCCAGGGCCGGGCTGTCAGCGAGGGCTGTCAAAGGCAGCAACAGGAGATGGAAGCAACATCCTAACTGCATTGACCTGAGCGCTATGCCTCTCTCAGAGGTGGAGTTATTAGGTCTGCGTAGCAGGCAAGTTATGTTGGCAGGAGGAACATTGTAGTGTAGATGCTCACACAGTTAGGTCAATGTAAGCTGCCTTACGTCAACCTAACTCTGTAGTGTAGACCAGGCCTCAAACTCATGAGAAACTGGAAATACAGAGTTAAAGTAAATGCTCGTGCAACCTTAACTCTGCCTCTTGGAGCTGGCAATAGCCACAGGGAATTATCTGCAGGCACATCAGCTGCAGTCACTGTGTTGGGGTAGCTGCACTGAATGATGGGCAGACCTGTGATCTGGGAGGCTGGGAGCCCCTTTTCCTGACCCACAGGTGTGTGATGAATGGAAAGATGTGCATGTGGGCCTTACTTCAGCGCTGTGTGTAGACTGTCAGTAGCAGGGCCTAGGGGTCTTCTTGCTATGGAGGTTGTCAGTTGGGTGGGAGGTAAGTGTGGTTGGAGTTTAATGAAGGGTAAATGAAAGTACAGTGAGAAGTGGTAACATGAGCTTTGGGGTGAGTGGTTTGCAAATGGGACTGAAGTGGTTGTAAAACTTAGCAGATGTTCTTTCTGCACAGCAGGCTGAGTGTCAGGCAGATGTAGGTAGCTCCTGTTCAGTACAGAGCAAAGACACAGGGCGAGTACGTGTTATGGCCATATGGGGCATCGCTCAGAGAGCAGGGTGAGCCTAACCCATAACTCTGTATTTCCTGGGTCTCAGACATTTGAGTTCTGCTGAACTGAGTGTTCTGGAACAACACAAGTGATCATTGGGCAACTATGTCAATTAAGGTTTTTTGCCATTTAAGTTTTTAGTGTTTTGAACAGAGAAACGTTGGTAGGAGTTAGGGGTCATTTAGGCAGCTGTAGTTACCATGTAGATGTGCAGTTCAGATGCTCCTGCACCCAGAAAATGATCAGACCTAGCTCTTACTTTTCATCAGTAGATCTTGGAGAGAAAATTATCCCCATTGCACAAGTGGGGAAACTGAGGCCCACCAAATTTCAACACAACCCAGGTTTGCATGCAGATTTTAGAGCACTTAGAATCGTCCTTTAAACAACAAAGTTTTTCTCAGTCCTCATAGCTGGGCTGGTGCTCCGCTATAATCCTGTATTCGATTAATCATCAGCAACTATTTTGCTCTATCCAGCTCTCCAGCACAGGATAATGCTGAAAACGGGGGACATCTTAGGCAGGATAGAGGGAAGAAGCTCCACATGTCCATGTGCAGCACTGGAGGCTCAGGTGTGAAGTGGCTCATTCATCTCAATGAGCTGTTCTCAGTGGAATGAGAACACGCTATGGAGATAAACACAGCCTGAAACAATAGTTCTGAGACGTGCCCTGCTCCCGGGGATATTCCCATCCCACCTCCCCAGGGTTGGAGAGCCTGTGATCTGCATCGGGAATGTCAGTTCTGTACACCTCAGTGTGTGTCAGCAGTGTATTCTTGGTCTATGCTCCCAGAATGCATGTTCTCAGCGCCACACCCACAGAAGCAGGGTTTCCCCCAGATCCTGGCTTGTATGAGGAGGGCAGGGATGAGGGCCAGGCTCCATAGCTGGGTACGAAACCCACCGATCCCAGCTCACCTAAAGATAGGGAGAAGAGCTCAACCTTCTCCTTCCCCCCCC